ATACTGTGCAGTAATGTCGGTAATAAAAATTTTCACTGTACTACTTTACAGGGGGTTGTATCATTTCCCTAACATGGCCTTTACTGCCATCAACTAACCTAGCCAACTTCTGATATAGAAATTCAGAAGAGCATTTGGTGAGCATACGCGTGAATTTGTATAAATTCATATCCGGCCAGTACATTTATGTGGTAACGAGGTACGGATTAAAACGCACGAGTACTAAGAGAAATTTATTACGGTTCGTCTTTTCACGCAAGCCGGGTATTTGAATAGGGGGAGAAAGAAGGCGGTAAGTGGCAGTGATTGTTACGTAGGAATAAGCTACCGGCCCAGACCACTTCCATGTGCATTTACTTCTTTACTCCATACACACCTGCCGGCATGACTGAGGACAGGTAAAAGAAAGTGCAAACGCAGCTCCATCCTCGCGCACGTGGTTGATTCTGTGCACCGTGTGGACCCCAACGAAGTCTTCCGTGTGATTTACAAGGTCCCAACTAACTACCCTAAGCTACTGGGTCAGCGCGTACTAGTAACAGCAGAATCGACTGCCACCAGGCTACGGTGGCCGGTTCTGTGCGCGCAGAAGAACCTCTCGCACGTTCCGCGTCTATCTTGTTCAACGATTAGCTGCATGCATGTCTCCGCATCCCCGTACCCCCATTCCCCCTTGTGACCCGGCTCTGTCTAACCCCTCACTGCCACCAACTGCCTCCTCTCCCCGCCCCTTTTCACTCACCCCGTTTGCATAACATGACGAACCGTAGTCGATTTCTTTCATCACTCACACGTTTCAGTTCCTACCGCGTTCACGCATAAATGTAATGACCCGAGGATAATTTGTCGAAAGCATGCGTATGCTGGCCAAATCTCCTTCTGAATTGCTTCGTGGGAATTTTTGCAAATTTGATAGAGAACTGTTGTTTTTCTCTCTTTCCCCGTAATATATTTTTCTTTTGGTGCCTTTTATACCTAATGCCTTATTATAAGCTCCGTTTTTATCACTAAAATTCTGTGTGATTTCTCCCCGAGTACGACAAATTCATAAACTGCATCTAATACTCGGCCAGTCAAATGAACCGAGCCGCGTGAAGTTGAATTAGACTGGCCCAGCTTCTGCGAAGTCATCACGCAGCTCAAACCCACATTAAGATAGGCGCTTTCCGACTGTGGATTTTCGCCTATCTCTCAATCCGATTGTAACTCATGTTTAAGTATTAGTGATGGCGCTGACCTCATGTGAATTGGGTTATTTGGAGCTAGCCGAACCCTGTCTGTTACGCAGACTGAGAGCCAGACTTTAACAAGATGCAGTTCGGCCGTCTAAGTATGCCTTGAAAATGCTTGAGCCCTATTAGTACTAGAAAATAGTGGTTCTACTACACTGTGACATGCATGCCGGACGAAAGTAAAATGCATTTCTCAACGCAACTGATTTACAGAAGGCATAAGTAATAGCACTTGCGCAAAAAGTGTCCAAAGGTTTGTCCCTAGTTTCCCATTGTAACTATTGGCCTGTCAGATCCACCATCGAGATGACCAAGTCAGTGAGTGACCGATCTCATGAAATGTTGACTGAAATTCTGAAATGCATTTTCGATTAGGAAGGATTACTTGGGCGTGGTTTTAATACTTATTATGTTGCGTCATAATCTTATAAAATTTCTGACTCGGCAGGATGTTAGCTTTTGAATAGACTGCTTTTAAATCTTCTGTGGAAATCGTACTTGGTAAAAAATAACTACTTAATTGGCAGGCATCTTTCCCATTGATTTTCGATAGTTCTGCAAATTAAAATATATCTTATAAAAAACAAAATATGCTTTCTTTCAGTCACTTAATCGAAAATTGCGCATTTTTTATATTTTATACTCAAGGAAGGAGTACAATTAAGTTTTAAAAATGTTTTCCAATTGTCGAATAATTTGGAGCCTGATCATTCGTTGCATTAGCGCTTAGGGATTTCAGTCAACAAAATGCATGCCTTCCGCGCAAAGAAAGTGACATATTTTTCTATGTAGTTAAAAAGATATCATGCAGAGTCCATTAAGTTTCGCAATGGATGAGGACTAGGTTGCAAATTTCATAAGGAGCTGTGGTAAACGGCCAGATACGATGTTATATGAAAGGACATTGCGCGGTCTTAAAAAACCCCATAATTATAAACCTTTTTCAAACCTAATTACACTTCTTCCTTGAGTACGAAACATAAAGAAGACGTGATTCTCTATTAATTGACTGAAATACAGCGAATTTCAGTTTATAGTTTCTATGACATATATTTGAATTTGCAAGACTATCGAAAATCAATGGGAAAAATACATGCTAATAAATAAGGCTTTTTTTACCGACTACAATTTCCACAGAAGATTTACAAGCAGTCTATTTAAAAGCTAACATCCTACCGAGTCCGAAATGTTATAAGACTATGCCGCAAGATAATCAGTATTACAAACACGCCCACTTAATCTTTTCTAATTGAAAATGCGGAATTACAGCTAACATTTCATGAGAACGGTCACTCACTGTACGTTATCGCCACCGTCAATATGACTGAATCTCCTATTCCAAATCTCGTCGTCCCCACGCATTAATCCTGACATGATTATGCCAATCGCTCCCCGGACAAAAACGACAGATTTGGTGGATTCCAGACGTTGCAGTATGTTGGGCGGGTAACTTGATCCAAATGTGATTAAACTCGCGTCGTCCGGCGGGGCCTCGTAGCTCAGGTGGTTAGAGCGTTGGCTGCGCTAAAGCCTTCCGCTTACTGCGTGGGTTCGAATCCCACCGAGGCGCCGAGTTTTTCACAATTGGGTCAACATGAACAAATGTAATTGCTCATTCCACAACGGTCAGAGCAAACACCACTGCTACAACCGACACCACCAATGCATGCACAGTCCCGACCTCTTCCTATTTCGATAAAGCCTTTTCATCATGGACCGGCTTGGTTGATTGTCTGTCAGTCTATCTCATTGTGACTGAAGCCCAAACCCACGTCAATCATCCAGGCTTTCTGTGAACCGAATGTACTCTCACAATCAAGCACTTCAAGACTCTATGCGGTGACATGTGAATATAATAAAAATTTCGATGAGGTTGGGCCCTCTAGATCCACCTGCGTGATACCACATGGTTAAGTTTCTAATAAAAATTTGTGATGTGAATACGCTGACCTAACACATATCACGTATTTGCATCTACCTTAGCATTTTAATCCAGCCACGGGGGAGGACTGCTTATACGCCAGCCTCGGTTACTTCAGTTAGTAGTTAGAACGCGCTTCTCTGCGCCTGCTTCGAGCACTGCTTGCGCTCTCTTTACTATCCTTATCCAGATATTGGCTATGTGGACTTGCAAATGGAAATGTTTGAACAGTGTGTAACTCCGTCGGTTCCACTACAGCGGCCATGCACTGCGAATCGCCACGTGATTCCACCAGTGTCCTTCCAGCGTGTGGCTGTACCGGGAGTGTGCTTCCCTGCGCGTGCTTCGAGCTCCGCTAGCGCCCTCTTTCTTTTTCCAATCCATCTAGTGGCTAATTTGGGTCTATTAACTAATATTGTTTTAGTAATTTAACCACATTGTGACACTCAGGTAAGGCTGCAGAACCTAACCTCGCCGAAAACGCAATGTTAAAGCCGCATCCTCGACATTCCTTACGGCACCACACCCTACAAACACACCTAAACACATTCTCCGACAGGGACTAAGTCGCATTTGTGTTGCACTAGAGAGGATCAAAGTGGCCCGAATTTATCGATGTGAGTTAAATATGCCAGTCTTTAGGGTAAGGTGATACCATATTAATAGCACAGTTACTAACCAAAAGCTCATACACGCGTTTTTCGCCGATGTTTTGCCTCTGCATGGCGCAGCTGCGATAGGTTCGGCTCGTCATTGGATCCCCCCAGCATTACCCGTGTGTTTTCTGATAGATACTCCAATTTAGAAAATGTGTAAATTAGAATTGTATATAATTCTCGGTCTGAGCCTATAGACCTTGAATAAACTAATCTACTCCAACTTCGTAATTAATTTCTGAGGAAACTAAAAAGCGGCTATGCCAGTGTCCCTAATTATTGCCACGAATGTATATAAAGTACCCAATACGGAGGCTTTCCTGCCACGTTGTCTTTGGAGTCAAACCTTTTGACAGTTTGTAGCGCGAACTGGTTCATGGTCTGAGGAACAGAGAAAGAGAAAGGCTGATTTCAACGTACCTGTCCTCAGAGCAAGTTAGCGCACGAATTTATCCCTTTGTGCCATCATTCGTTACTTAGGTTACCAATTAAAGCTATGACTTGGTCCTGTTTTGGACTGAGGGGCGTGGTCCTGCAGTCCTACACATTGTGGTTCTGGTGAAATCTTGCACCATCTCAAATGTTGATGGCTGATATTTATGGGTTCGTGCGTAGTACGTACAGACGAGTTGTTTGACTCTGTCATTAGTTCACGGTCGTCCTGAATTCGTCTTTTAATGGCAGCACGGGGATGTAGAAGGAACGAGTGAGTTTGATGCGTATCAAGTCAGTGCGATGATTAGGAATATAATGATGAAGGTGGTGGCGGGTATAGGTGACATGTCCCCTACGGCTGTGCATACAGCGTAGCGGCATCTGCGACTGGGCCTAAACCGATGCACAATATTTAGCACACACAATCAGCAGTTTCGTGCCAGTTGGTGGGCGCAGTGCTTGCTCAACAGTGCCTCATATGCATTGGAATTAGTGCACGTCCATTTTGATTAAAACCTTCAGGGATAGGAGATCCTACGTCTCGAAAATGTAGCCTGGCGTATATACATCGACTGTATGTACTTTAACTGTTTGATGTATACTGAGTACAAAACTGCACAATACTGCACAAAACTAGGCAACCTCTTGATGGACAAGGAAGCTTATGTGCCATCGACCGTCAGCGAGTTTAAAAAGCTCGTAAACAGCATAAACAATGCGATCGGCAAACTGAGGAAGGCGGGAGCTCTTACGAGAATGGAGGCGTTGGCCGCAAAAGCCAGTGATACCGCGATGGCGCGCTTCTACGGCCTACCAAAGGTCCACAAGCAGGGGGTACCGCTGCGCCCCATCGTCTCCTTACGTGGTACTCCAACCTTTGGGCTGTCAAAGTGACTGTACCAGCGACTTTGTTTCCTTACCAAGGATTCGCAGTGGACAGTGAAGTCAGCTGAAGAGTTCTTGACGCGCATCAAACATCTCGAAGTGGAGGCAGATGAGGTGATGGTGTCATTTGACGTGATCTCATTATTCACCTCCATCCCACTTGCGCTGGCTATCGACACTATTGATGGCTTTCTCCGGGAAAAGTATGATGAAACCGACCAACAGCTCAAACGAGCACACATCATCGAGCTCCTAGAACTGTGTCTTAAGACCTTCTTTACATTCAACGGCCAAGGCTACGAGCAAAAGAAGGGGACACCGATGGGCTCGCCTCTGTCTGGACTACTTGCCGAAGCAGTTTTGTAGAGACTCGAGCAGCAGGTCTTCAGCTCGTACCCCCCGAAGTTCTGGGTCAGATACGTCGACGACAAGTTCGTTGTAATCAAGAGGAGCGAGGTGAAGGCTTTCAAGGCATTGTTGAACTCCATCTCTCCCGATATTCAGTTTACTATGGAAGAGGAAGTCAACAATCATTTGCCCTTCCTGGACGTACAAGTTACGAGATTGACAGACGGGAAGATAAGGACAACGGTTTACCGCAAGGCAACAAATACCAGGCGCATCCTCCACTTCCGAAGCAACCACCCTGTTGGTCATAAACGCAGTTGTGTCAGAACTCTCTTTCAACGTGTTCAAACACACTGTAGCGACGACAGTGGGAGGAAGGAGGAGATGAATTACTTACACGCCCTTTTCAGAGCCAACGGCTACCCGAAGTCCTTCATACGCAATTGCCTCAAAAAGCCTCATTTTGAGCGGTCGAGTGGAGAAAAGCCCAAGTTCTGGCTCTCAATACCCTATGTGAAGAACGTATCAGAGGCAACGGCAAGAATCCTGAAACCTTTTGGGATTGGCGTGACTCATAAACCAGAATGCACCATCAGACAGCAAATCATGAAGCCCAAAGACCCGCTACCAACAACAGAACAGTCGGCGGTGATCTACAGCATGCCATGCCTAAATTGCAATGCAAGGTATGTTGGTGAAACGGGCAAACGCCTCGGTACAAGATTGCACGAACACCAACTTGCAATCAATCGCAAGGACAAGCTGTCTTTGGTCTATGGACACATAAGAGAACTGAACCACGATTTTGCCTTTGAGAAAGCGAGGGTAATTGGTCGAGCCAATGAGAAGATGGCCAGACTGGTGCTCGAAAGTTGGTCCTCGACTGGTACACTCAACCGAGCTATAGATCTACATCCCGCCTACCAGGCGCTTCGTACAAGGCTCGGATCAGTCCGGACAAGACCAGTAAGGCCAGCGAGCACGCGGGACCGAGAGTCAGCGCTCACGGAAAAATGCAGAATTGGGGGCCAAAGGTCATGTGACCAAAGCCGAACACTGTCTCGCCGATGCGCCCGCGAATCTGAATGCTGCTCACCTGAACAGCAACGACCGATCAGTCCGCCGGCTGACGTGGGAGAGGCTAAGCGGCACGTTGATTTGACCACAATTACGCCGACCCCAAAGGTCAAGCAGGCCTGTCAGCGGTCAGCCTCTGGGAGGTCTAAGCCAGTCAGCGGCAAACAGGCAGGTCAAAGTTCGTGCGTCCAGCACGGCTATAATACGAGGCAAGCGGCAAGACTGAACAACTCAAGACCGGCAAGTGCAACAATTACTCTACTCTGATGATGGAAACGAGGAAGTTTCCGCAACGTCAGTTCGAATACAATATGGTCCATGAATTCGCCCTCTCTACTTATTCGTCTTCTTCGGGAGATGATGAACGCGACACATAAAAATATAAATTGGATCGAAAACATCCCAAGAAATATATTTGCAGTCAAATACGCTCTTTAGGAAAAGCATAAAATTTGTTTAGTAAACTTTCAATTTTATCCTCTCCAGATCGTTCTTAGGCTTGATTAAGTTCCAAAAAATGTCTTTACTATTTCAAGCTAGGGGAAAAGCCGTAGATTCTGATTTCTGTATTGAAATCACGACAAGTACTATCGTATTTTGGAGGTTTTTATGGGTGTTTACCAATTTTTAAAGCAACTAACTGAGAAAATTGATAGAGCAACGCATTCATTGACATTTATAGGACACTCTGCAACTCAGCGTACTCCATTGTAGTCAAAAGTATACATTAACTTCACGGAATGAGAATTTCCCGAGTACAGAGAAACTGGTATCCCTACTATTATATTTGTTTATTGTATCCCAGTTTCCTAATCACTGATCGACCCCTTGACGTTTGGGCTTATGAAATCGTTCATACCTATGGCGCCCTCCTTAGCAAAATCAAATTAACTCCGCTGTACCTTTGTCAATCGCATCTCGAACAGTGCAAAACGAAAAGCTACATCGAAACATATAAGCAAATAGTGCTCACATAAAAACGCGGCATACCTCAGATAGCATTAATCGTTGAAGGGCGTATGGGTCCTCTGTACTGTGCGTGACCTATCTGATGAAATGTTGGCTTAAATTCTGAAATGCTTTTCGATTATGAAGGACGACTTGTAGAAAGCGTCCTTAATAAAAAATGACTACTTAAGTAGCATGCATTTTTCCCATTGATTTTCGATGGTCTTGGAAATTCAAACATATTTTAGAGAAATCACAAACAAAAATATACTTTTTTAGCCATTCAATAGAGAATCACGTCTTCTTTGCATTTTATACTTAAGGAAGGAGTATAATTAGATTTTAAAAAGTTTCTAATTATGAGATTTTTTAAGACCGCGATATGTCCATTCACATAGCATCGTACCTGGACGTTTACCACTGGTCCTCATGAAATGTACAACATGGTCCGCATCCATTACAAAATGTTTGAATTCTGTATGATATCTTCTCAATGGCATAGAAAAATTTTTGATTTTATTTCCGTGGAACGCATGCAATTTGTAGAGTAAAATCACTAAGTGCTAATGCGGCGAATGGTCAGGCTTTAAGTATTTCGGCCATTAGAACACTTTTTTAAAATTTAATTATACTCCTTCCTTAAGTATAAAATACAAAGAAGACGTGATTCTCTATTGATTCACTAAAAGAAAGCATGTTCTTGTTTGTGGTTTCTATAAAATATATTTGAATTTCCAAGACCATCAAAAATCAATGGGAAAAATGTATGCTACTTAAGTAGTCATTTTTTACCGAGCATGCTTTCTACAGGAGATTGAAAAGAAGTGCATTGAAAAGCCGATATCCTGGCAAGTCCAAAATGTTATAATAATGTGCCTTAAGATAATCAGTATCACACCCGCGACCAAGTAATCCTTCCTAATCGAAAACGCATTTCAGAATTTCAACCAACATTTTATGAGATAGGTCACGCACTGTATGTAAAAAATCCTTTTTTAGCGTTGCTATAGTTGTGATGCTTTTCCTACGCGATCGTTTGCATGGACAAGCTTGTAAGTACTTCCACAGATTGAATTTATTCGCTTGGGGTGACTATACGCGCTTTTGCCATTTCTGTTTTTCATGAGAAAATTGTCAATTTTACCAAATGCAATATTATTTCATATCCTTATTGTACTTTAATGCAGATAAAAGTCGCTTATTGTTCCTCTGAATTTTTCGAAGACACATACGGGTCGATGTCAGATTGTTTGAATTTTGCCATCCACTGTAAAGTGTCCAGTATGTGTCTTCGTTTACTCTTTGTCAGGCGACTACGCATGGAACCCCTCTTATTCAACTAAAAATGGCCTTTCCGTAGTTATATGCCAAGGAGCATCGCTATGTCGGTAGTGCAGCGCGATAAACGACCAAGAACATGGGTGCGTTAAATTGTCAACCGTCTGGGGGGGGGGAGGATGGTTTCGTGATTCACGATGCGAGAGGGCATCGAAACATGTGAAAGGCATCTGGTGACTGGGGTAGGGGGGGGACGGCGGCCATGTTAAAACAAGTTAAACATGACAGGTGGTGAACAGCACGGCATGTTAGTCGTACGTACGAGAGAGCCTGACTAAGATATTCTGCGGGGAAGTGGGTCATTCAGCGCAAGTCGGCTGACTACGACAGGGCAGGGTTGGTCACGTGACCCAACTGCTGGCAGGGCTCTGTCTGCCTCGACATTGCTGTGGCCTGCTGACCGTGCGCACGGTGGACAGTGACCCTCAAACGCCGATCACCAGTGTCCTGCGAATGTTCTGCTACCGAACTTTTATGAACCTCGTTTTCTGGCCTGTAATCTTCCGGTAAGATGTGGTTATTTAGTCGCACTTGATGCAAACAATACTGTTGACATACTTAGTTCTTTTGAGTTGGTTTAATTACGTTTGCATGGTGTTGCTGTGCGTTGCGGTGTGTGTTCTGTTGGCGTTCTTGTTTCTTTCTTGTCGTGTCCACCTTTTTGGGTCCTATGCCGGTGGTCCTTCTCGACTTTTGGCCTGTCGCTGAGCGAGCAACCGGCAGGTGAACCACCGTGCGGCTAAGTTTGGTACTGCAGCCACACTTCACCAATACCAGACGGCCAGCCTACTAAAACAAATTTAGTAGGGGCGACCAGGCTGGATTTATATATATATATATATATATTAAATGTTTGCGCCTTCCTTACTATTTTAATCCAGCGAGTGGGTATGCCACGGGGGAGGGGTGCTTACTCGCCAGCCTCGGTCACATGGGGATATCAGTTCATACGCGCTTCCCCACGCGTGCTTCGAGCTCTGCTTTCGCTCTCTCTATTATCTCAATCCAGCGAGTGGTTAAGACGGCTTGGTAATGCCATTGTTCGGATGCTGCGGAGTTCAGCCAGTTCCACTGCTATGTCAATGAACTGCAAGTTATCACGCGGTTCCCTCCGCGGCCTTCCAGTTTGGATTGTGCCCTCCTTATACTCTTAGTCGAGCGACTGACTGTGTCGCGGGGAAAATATACACTCGACCTTCGGTTCAGATGAGCCGGCCGTGTACGTCTTCAGCTTTGCATGCGCTCTCTTCTCCTTTCTTGTCCAGCGAGGGGCTATGTTAGATATATTTAAAAAAGTTATTTCATTTAGATAACCATCTGATATCAATCATGTGGAACTACAGGACAAAGCCTCGCCAAACACGTCTGTCAGAATGTCTGTTCGAATCTTCACCCCCGTTGACCTTTTCATGCCACCGATAGTGAAATGTTGGTCGGCAGATGGACGTGCGGCAAAGGCTACTAACTTTTCGCGGGGGTCGCTGATGCTCCTCGTCAAGTAGAACGATCGAACTACTGGTCACTGTATACGCACAAAATAAATTCGCCCAGTGGCTCGGAACGTTAGGATTTAACGCATGCGGATAAAAAAAGTGCAGATAAACGGAAGAATTGATATATTCCTGCTAATCTGAATACCATTCCCAAGCATTATATGAGAGTTTGTAGGGGAGGGAACACTTAAACCGTCAAAGAAAACGACACGTTGCCACCGGGATGACAGTCTCTGGTCCTGCTGGGCTCAGTCGGTCTTAGAATTTGGGACGCAGTTTGTCGTAGGTGACTTGCTAACGATGTGTATCTCCTATTTCTACCTACAGGTACATTAATCCAAATCACATCTCCTATTCTGCCAAGTCCAAAAGAGTCCCCTATGGTTGATCAACCAATGATAACTAGATAATGCCGAACGGGATTTTGAAATACCCGCAGCGAAGGAAACATTGTTACAGACCGAGAACAAACAAAAGGGTTTTCTTTAAGATGTTATTCTTACGTCCCGTAAGCTAGAAACAAACAGTTGATTCTATCCGCGACGCCATCGATTCCATAGCCTGATTCGAAGTGCGTGTCTCAACTTTGTCCGCTTTTTTGATGTTCTCGCTGGAGTAATAATGCTTGAAAAGCGCATACGAAACTTTAATTATTTCTAACTGCAACTCTGAGACTAATGTCAAAGTTGCTCCTTCCAATCACATTAGAGTGGTATTTACTGACCTAGCCAAGAAACCCGATAAAAAAGGCTTTGTCACTTTTTGCGAGCGACTCTGTATCTGCAACCGGCTCAGGGTGTTTCATAGCTATGAACAATTCAAACTGAGTTAATGACGGGGTTTGGAAACTGAGCCGCTGGTTTTTTTCTTTCCATTCACTTAAGAGTTTTCTTACACATATATATCTGTTGGATTATTTTGCTCCTTATATAGTGAGTCCTTCCTCCATTTCTTTATCTGTATAACCATAATGATGTCATCTGCACACTACTCTAACGCCGTTTTGAAGGAAATCAAATCTGACGCAAATTTCGCACTCACTCACCGACCATTTTTAATGATATCGGCAATTGCAGTTTTCGGCCATTAAACAGCACTTCTGGTGTCCTAATGTCATTTGTTTTCGTACTCTTTTTATTCACTGTGAATCGAAATATTTTTGGCAAATTTTTTGGAATAATACTTCCAAAATAAGGCATAAACACACAGTTCGTGACCTATATCATGAAAGGTAACGAACTGCGAACTAAAATCCCTTTAGCGCACGAAACACCCAATCTGCATTCATGAAAGTTATACTGCTTTAAATGTACGATCGAGCTTCAAAGCAAGACACAGTTTGATTTAAAAATTATTATTTATATACTAAGCAGTAAGTCATTTTACGAAAGACCACTAAATTAAAAACGACCCTACGGCAGGTCAATTACTCAAGGCCTAATATAACGGTCAGCAGAAAAATGAAATATTATAAAACGACAAAAAACAGAAAACAGTAACATGTACAACTTATTAGTACCTTGTCGATTTTCCTTTGGATTATGAGGTTGCTGTAAGCCTGGAGGGCATGGAGACTGCTACATGATCTATGGTGCTATGGTCTGCATAATCGTTAGGCACAAAATCCAACTTTTTTCCACTATAAGACGTTTTCTTGCCTTGTCCCAACTCCTCCCGATCAGTGAAAACGGATTTTTGATAGGATTCAGGTCCGAGCTGTTGGCGGGATTAAAAATGCTTCGAAGACCGCTGGCAAACAGGCCGGCTGTGTTATAAAATATTAAATTATAGTCGTAAGCTGAATTGGAAACTACCTCACCTGAGCAGTGATCAGGAGCATTATCCTGCAAAATTTGCGGTGTCCATTCGACGCCGATGAATGTCGTTGTAACCGAAGGCATCCTTTCGATTAAAACCTTGCTGTTTATCGTCTCCATTGTCGAACGCCAGACCGGTCGCTCTCCGGACTTGATGGCCATCCAGACCATCAGGCGTTGACAGTTCTTGAACGTTGGTCTCGATATAGTGTGTTCTCATAGAAAGCCCTTCCCACAAATGACCCCCTGGGTCGATTTCTGAGTCTTCTTTAGAAATAACTTCTCATCATAAAAGGAAACGCCTTTCCAAACTAAACTTTAGTGGTCAATATATTTCTGAGCAAAGACAAAAAGGTTCTCTACGAAGTTTCCTACTCAAGAATGGCTTTTTCATAGCGTTTTGCTGATAGAAGCTGAATTATTTCATTCGTTTTCTAGTTGTGCGCAAAGAAAACATTGACAGGTGTTTCCTGGAAATAGCCTTAAGGTGCATCTACTGATACGTTTTCAGGGTCCGACGAATAAAGTCGTCGTCCTGCTCACTTATGGACCGTTTTGTCCACCTTGCTTAACTCTAGCCACTGTTTTTCATTAATAATCCTCCACAGAATGACCTGAGTGGTGTTGAAAATAATAACTAACGACTCATGCGGCACCCCTTTTGCTGTCAATTTTCATATCCGCTCAAAGTCAACTTCCGATAGAAAATGTTCTGACATTGTTACTGCACGGCGCGGCAAAGAAAAGGGGTAGCATGTAGCATGCAATCCATAAATACATGCTTGCGTATACTAGTTCCCGGTGTAGTAAAAGAAATACTGCCGAACAAATTTATTACTTCGTTTAACTATACGGAACGTTGCCTTTTTGCCAGATAGAATTTCTAAGGAGAAAATTGCTCCTTGTCTTACGAAAAGAATACGTTTCTGCATACTTGTCTTAACCTGATTTTCATGAACTACCAATCGCAATTTCCATAGCCAGGGTGGACTTCGTTGATATTTTTCTTGGTTATATGAAGGTTCCCTTATAATGCAACGCACGCTTAGATGAGGTTTTAGTAGGTGATACTTATTGAAGTAGGAAATTATGTGGTCAAACGTTGTCTGATCTTGGCTGTTTCCCCTCGATAAAACTAACCTAACATGACCTCATCCTTAGAAAAGGGCTTTCTGGGATTCCAATCAATTCTAAAAACAAAACTAACCACACCAAATATATGTCGTCCCACCAACTCAAATATCGATCTCGTTATTTCATTTGTTAGATTGTCTCATTTCTCTCCCTCAATACTGTACAAAAAGCAAAAAAGCACTGGATCTGCCATTCCCGACTTACTTGCTGGCATTAGTCAGCTTCCGCAGACTTCAAACCCCAGGCAATGCATTCATTGCTGTACACTGACGGACTCGCGTCGTGTCGGCTGAAATGCTGATTGGCTAGTCACATGACAATGACGAATACGAGGCCACATGGTCGCAGTACTGGAAATGAATTCTTTCACGTTGTCATATCGTCAAGAGTCTACAAACCCCGCGAGAGATCTCCCCACAGCTAACAGTCAATCCGTCAAGCGACTCGGGATCGTGGTCTCGTGCGGACAACCGGAAACAGCCATTCCAGAGTCCTCGTGTTTGCCGATAAACGCTTTGCAAGTGACAGTTACATCGTCGGTTTCGACGATATTCACAGTGTGCTCCACAGCAGGGTAGGAGCGGGAAAGGTGACTTGTGCGAAAATTTAATTCATAGTGATAGCAGACTTGCAAAGCATCTACCGCATTCTCGCCTACCCTCCTCTACCCGGGCTCGGTGTCAAGACAGAGTCGAGAAGACCGGAGGCGGAGGGGACGCAGGTGGATGACGTGGCCGAACCCTCACCTTGGCGCTCCACTTCACGCCCCCTGGTCCACAACAAACTCTTGACCAGGGTTTTTTCCAACGACTGCAAGATCAAGAGATAAGACATGGATGACTAGGTAGCAATGCACACGACCTGAGAGCGCAAACGCGTCTACCACCAGAGAACCAGGCACCGGAGAACTGCCAACGCACACCACACTGCGAAGGCTGTGAGGGTTTGACACAGCAGACGCTCACATACCCTGAAGGTTTGCAATCACTGATTGTTAGTCACCATTTCCTCACCTGCATAGGCCTAGAACCTCACCCCCAAAAGTAAAGCGGACACGCCGATTTGAGTTCCATGGTCAAAGCAGCTCAATTCAAGCCATTCGGATGTTGATATTAAGGTTCATATGAAAAGTAGGGCCATTCGCTAAGTAAAATTTACTAATCTTCTTATATAATGACGATTTAATGAATGCAGAAACTGCCAGAGGGTACAAAGCAAATGAGAGGGAGGAAATTGGCATTCCAAGATTTTCAGCAAAACAGCTTCCCAAAAGAAGAGTGGGCGTTCACCGGGAGGGGTTTATTTGAAATCCGACGCTTCGGGTAGTTTACTCGTCTACCCATCTTCAGGGACTGAGAGGTCCTGTGCACAGCACTCCTTATTATGGCGCCCCTTGTCCAATGCGTCATCCGCCAATGCCGCCTGTGTGGCTGCATCCAACCCGCATGTCACCGTGACCTGAATCGCCCCCGTCGGCGGCGGTGATGACTGACGGCCCCGATTGTCCCGCGCCGTGACTGTCCCCCGCTAAGAAGGTTCGTAAAGTCAGATAAGGGGGAGGCAAATTAATGTGGCGGTTGACAGAGCGGTCGGTGGACATCCAGGCTTCTTGCACTTGCCTTGCTGTGTGATCGCCGCCCCGGCCCACAATCTCAACGGCGTCAAAGTTGAAGATGTGTCCCATTTGCGCGGCATGGGTTGCTACCTCCGACTTTGGGTCCAACCTTCGCACGGCCAACTTATGCTCGTGCATTCGCGTTTGCAGCCGTCGGCCGGTTTCCCCAACGTAGTCGCAACTTCCGCAGTTGCATTGGAGTCGGTAGACAACGGCCGACATCTCCTGCTTAGGGATCGGATCTTTCGGCCGCATCACTTGCCGGCGGATTGTTGAGTCAGGCCTATGGGCAACACCTATTCCGAGTGGCGCGAGTGATCGAGCCACGACTTCGGAGACCCTTTTAATGTACGGAATGCTCCGCCACGAGTTTGGCTGACTGTGCTCCTCGTTCCGTTTCTTTGGCTGCCTCCGGCTTCGTTCAGTGAATGCCCGTGGATAGCCATTGGCTCTGAAAAGTTCTCGGAGGAGCTTTATCTCATTCAGTTTGGTGGCTGGCGTGCTGCAATGAGTTTCTACCCGTCGGTACAGCGTGCGGACACAGCTTCGTTTGTGTTGTGGCGGGTGGTTGCTGTTGTAGCTGAGAATTTGCAGCGTGTTCGTCGGTTTTCTGTAGACCGACGTCGCTAGTTCGCCATTTGGTTGGCGGCAGACGAGAACATCCAAGAATGGAAGTTTGTCCTCGACTTCCTCCTCCATCGTGAACTGTAGATCGGGCATGATTGAGTTCAGTACTTCCGCATAGTAGTTGATTTTATCCTGGTCTATGATCACGAAGGTGTCATCAACGTAGCGTGCCCAAAACTTGGGTTTGTACTCCTCGAATAGTCGTCTCTCGAGTTTTTGTAGAACCGCCTCGGCAATGAGTCCGGAGATTGGTGAACCCATTGGAGTGCCCTTGATCTGCTCGTATGTGGTCCCTTCGAAGGTAAAGAATGTCTTGAGGCAGTGCCCTAGGAGTTCTATGAGATCCTGAGCTGTGGGCTGGCCATCGCCTCCGTCGTAATTTTGACGTAGCAGGTCACTGAGCGTTTCGACCGCAAGGGTCTGTGGTATGGACGTGAAGAGTGAGACGACGTCAAAAGACACCATCCTTTCATTCGGTTCGATCGTGACTGCCCTTATTTTGTCAAGGGATTGTTCTGCTGAGTGCACCGTTGTTTGTGAGCCTGCAGTTAGGAATCTTAGCTTCTGAAATAGCCAGCTTGCAAGCCCGTATGTGGGTGTGCCTCGGAGCGAGACGATAGGACGGGGGAGAACATCTGGCTTGTGTACTTTTGGGAGACCATAGAATCTCGCCATAGCGGTTTCTGCGGGCTTTGCCATATACCAGTCTTTGACGGTGATGACCTTGTCCTTTTTTAGTCGAGCCAGAGTTCTGTTAACCTTTGCCACTAGGGACTTTTGACTGGCGGCGTCGCTGACTTTGTAGGACACTCGATCGTTGAGGAGCAGGAGGGCTTTGCGTCGGTAGTCCACCTTGTCGAGGATGACGGTTGACCGGCCTTTGTCAGCAGGCAGAATAACTATTTCGGTGTCCGCTTTCAGCTCCCTTAGGGCCTTTTGTTCATCTCTTAGCAGGGCATGGGTTTTCCGGTGCGACATGAGAGGTGAAGAGACTTGATCTCGAAGGAGGTCCTTTACCTCGTCTGTGGCGCCGGTTTGACGAAGCACTGATTCCAAAGAAGCAATGAAGGTGACCGGGTCGGCGTCAGTTGTGTTAAAACCAGATCCACGTTGTAGGACTTTTGTTTGGGTCACAGTAAGTTGTTTTGACGAGAGGTTATGCACTATCGTTTGTTCGGTTTCCTGGTCTTGTGCGGTCTGCAGTGTCATGAACTTTATCGATAAATCCGCATCTCTGTTAGCACGTTTCTTTCGTCCCAGTGCTAGTAATGTGTTCTGCAATGAGGCGGCAGTCGTTTCCCACACCGGCGTGTAACAAGCATCCGGTAGTTTTCAGCACTGTGTGCGTATTTCTTAAGTCGCAGGTGACAATCTTGTATGAGTACCCTTGTCATTCGCCGACTATGGCGGAACACCGTTTGTTTAGCCAATTCCGTGTTGACTGGAGGCTTGTAGGAGAGGAATTTTGGCATAACATAGTTGGCAAGGCATCTTTGAAGGAAATGGAGCTGTGCATAGGTCGGGGCCTGTCGGAGGACAGTTTTTTCCCAACGACGAGCCAGTTGAAGCGCTTCGCGCCCGTAATTCACATCAATAGTAGTGAAAATCCGATTCCCAGGTGGCATATCAAAAGAAGAGTGGGCGTTCACCGGGAGGGGTTTATTTGAGATCCGACGTTTCGGGTAGTTTACTCGTCTACCCATCTTCAGGGACTGAGAGGTCCTGTGCACAGCACTCCTTATTATGGCGCCCTTTGTCCAATGCTTCCGCTTACAGTGCCCAGGATAAAAATAAGTAGACTGTGGCAATTTGAGTACCATTTTCTGAATTCCAGTCTTTGCAAATGCAATATCCTTCCCGGAATGCCAAAACAGATCGTTGATAAGCAGATGCACGACAAGAGGTAGGCTGGAGGTCAGAGAACTTGGGATGAAAAGACTTGACAGCCATTAATTTAGGATGGGGGGATGGACAACATCATCCAGATCAGGCAAACGACAGGGCAATGAGCCCGCGGTTCAGTGGTTAGGGGCGTTGGACCCCTAACCAAACGATTTGCGGGATCGAGTCCCAGGTGTTTCACGCCTCTGGGTTGGGTTAAGCTGGCTGAAGACGTCTAATAGGACGGGAAGGGCCGTTCCAGTCCCCCTTGTCTTTTTTGGCAGCGCTATCTGCCTATATCATGCGCTGCAATGCGGCTACTGGCGAGGCTTAAGAGAGAGCCCCAAAGCGCACCGGGACGAGTGAGTTCCGTAGCGCGATTGGTGCGCACTCACATGCCGATTGCTTAACCCTTGTAAAATATCGCCATACCGGCCAAAACGACA